AGACTGAGGAATGTCGAGATCTGAGATATGAACTGTTGTCTTAATCTATTCAGACCAAAAATATAGAAAGGACGAGTCTGGGACTTACGCTGGGCGTAAGTCTCAGAACGAGCATCATAGTGGGTTGAGGTCCCCGATCAGTTCCATGCGCGTTTGGGTACGCTGAGCGTACCAAGGGGGTACGCCCCGCGTAACCCCTTCTGGGGGTTTTTGGGCTAGGCATTGTGTTGGGCCTTGAGTGTTGGGCCTGGAGTTTGGACTTCATGCAATAGAGTCTTGGACTAGAGAAGTGTATATATGTGCTTTGGGCCCTTGGTTTGGGCTTGCCTTTTGTTTGGGAATTGGGCCGTGTGAGGGCCCATTTATTATTGGGCCTTGGTGGGCCCAATGGGTTGGACCTAGTTCCTAATTGAGATAATTGTGGGTTTGGCACAGAGATAGAGGCTGGTGCGTATCAACAGTGTCTATAGGAGCTGTTCATCATCCGAGGCGAGTCTTCTCACTATACATTACCTAGAGTGGTATCTATCTGTAGACCGGAGGGTCTTGTGTGCTATGTGTATGTATGAGATTATGTGTTATGTGATATATGCATGCTATGTGTTGTATAGACCGGACCGGAGGGTTCAACGATATAGACCGGACCGAAGGGTCCAACGATACAGACCGGACCGAAGGGTCCAACGAGCTATGACCGGACCGAAGGGTCCAACGAGCTACGGGACTGGAGATTCCCGCTGAGACACATCGACCGGAGGGTCGTACCGTAGCCTCGAGTGGCGTATGTGTTGTATGTGGTATTTTGGGGAACTCACTAAGCTTTGTGCATACAGTTGTTGTGTTATGTGTTTCAGGTACTAGCGAGAATCGCGGGAAGGCGCCGACATGATCCGTACACACTTATGGAGTTTATGTCTTGAGATTCTGGGATATGTTTTGTTATGATAACATTGGATACATTATGTTTGATATTACCTTATGAATAAAAGTATGTTTTAAAAAATGAAATTGTTTTGGAAATTTACGTTGTTACAAAGACGCTTATAATGTTTTTTTTGGATTTCCACTAGTGTGGCAAAGCTAAGCTGGGATGGGATGGATAATCCTGCTTTAACTTCTATTTTATTGTAATTAGTTTTTTTTTCCAACGACTTGCTAGTTTTTTGATAAAATTATGTTGTTTAAAAAAAAAAACAAGTTTGAAATGTCAAAGAAGACATTTTTTTATATTTTGTAGTCGTTTTTTTAGGAAATGAGATTGTTTAGATGAAAAAGGAAAAAGCAATATTTAGACCAAAAAAGCTCGAGGCACATCGATCTCTTACTTAAGGAATACCATACATGATTGTTACAAATTATTATATGATCTATTTTAGGGGTGACAAGTGATGACACGACACGACAAAAATACACGACACGAAATGAAATTGTGACGAAACTGGAATTCGAATTCGTGTTCGTGTCGTGTTCGTGTCTAGTGTAAAAAACACGACGTCGTGTCGTGTCGTGTTCGTGTTCAAAATTTGACACGAAATTGACACGATTTAATATTTTTTTGTTGTGTTTTTCATGATTGTCGTGTTTTTCGTATTATGCATGAATAAATATTAATTAAATACATTACTTGTTATTTCATGTTATATTTATCGTGTCGTGTCGTTTTTTTCGTTTTTAATCGGTTCGTTTTCGTGTTAGTTAAAAAAAACCCTAGATCGTGTCGTTTCGTGTTCGTGTTACATAAAATCTTGTCGTGTCGTGTCGTGTCAGACAAAAACACGACACGATGACCCGATTTGCCACCCCTAATCGATTTTGATTTAAACATCTAAGAAACAAAAAGTTTATGCTAAGAATTGAGGGAAGGAGAAAGCGATGGAACAAGGACAAAGTAGTTTAAAAAGGATAATAAGTTAATCACTTCACTTCTGAGGTAACCAAATTTTATATTTGTACACATTTAGTTACACATATTTAACCAATAAACTAGCATTAAATATTGAAAATAACATTTTGACCAAAATTAAAGGAGACTACTCCAGCAACACATAAGCTTATGTGCGCAAGCAACTTTTGAAATTCTACACATTTAGTCACATTTCTTTATTTTTATAAATATTTGAGCAATAAAGTTCACTCTAAGAACAAATTTGACAATGAAAATATTTCGGAGAAATTAAATATCCTCCACTTTTTGTTTTTAAAATCATCCTACCCAATTAAATAGTGACATTTGTAACATTTAATAGTCATTTAATGATATTTTATTATACTAATACGACACATGTCATCATTTAAATAGGTAGGAAGATTATTAGGAACAAAAAGTAGAAGGATATTTAATTTCTCAATATTTCAAATGTCTCCAAAACACCAATTTACATATTTTGGTACATCAAAAAGTAAATTTTTATTACAAATTTAATCAAAAATTTTTATATACAAATCAATTTCTTTTTTATGATTTTGATCCAAGTTAAAATTTTTATTATAAATTTGATCAATTTTCTTTTTTATGATTCTGATCCAAGTTTAAATTTTTATTAAAAATTTGATCAAAATTTTTTATATAAATTTCTTATGTTATTTTGTACTATTCTTTACACATTGTTTTACAACATTTTTCAAGATCATTTTTCATATATTCGTTTTTGTAAAATTATTAAAGATAAGTTATAGAAAAACTAGGACAAAAATGGTCAAAAACGTAATTTTATACAAAAACCTTGTAAATTTTTTAACAAAGGGTCGCTGATTTTTTATGAAAAAGTAAATATTATGAAAAGAATATTTGTAAACAAAGAAACTAAGTTTAAAAATTATGGAGAAGAAACTAAGTTAAAAAAACATGCAAAATAAAATTTTTAAAATTTGAAGAAGGTTTTTAACAAAAGTTAAGACTTAGGTCATAATTGTAAATCTTAACTCGTACGTTTTATAGCATGTGATGGGTCCAATTTGGGACAATTTTAATGGTTTGTTATCTCTTATTATAATAAAGTTAGTAAGTTTATGTTTTTAAGTATATTTAAAATAGTTCATTGGTCATTATGATTTTCTTTAATATTTTGTACAAGTTATAAGTCAAGTGTGTAAAAAGAAATAAAAAACGATTAAATATGTATAATTACAAAAATTGATTAACTTAAATTAGTTTATTGCTCGAACAAGAAATCTTCGGAAACCAATAAAACCTTTAATTACAAATAATAATGGTCTTTTTTTAATGATAAAATGAATATAATTGTATAATTATAAGACTTGTTTATCGTGGTTTGAGAAGGAAGTAGAGATACAAAATGAAGCGTTTTCTGGGAGGTATTTTTGGTACAAAACAAATATAAATTTTTTAATAATTGTTTAGCATTTATATAAAACTAGAGGGATTACCAATCTTATATTTTCAACGTAATCTTTTAATGTTGTGTTATACATTGATAATTTCAATAATTTCATTATTACACAGGTCCATTATTGTAATTTTGTCTTCCATAGGGACCGTTTTTATAATTTCGATATTGTAGAAAGACCAATTCTGCAATGTCGTTATTGTATCAGGACAATTTCTGTAATATCCAGCGTCAGTTTTTTTATTCATTTTTCCCATATGGTATTATGCAATATGCATGGATCATTTTTACAATTTTGATATTACACATGGGCTATTTCTGTAAGCTCGTTATTATATCTGGATCATTTTTGTAATATCACTATTACAGAGGGACTTTTTTGTAATTATCTTTTATAGGGACCATTTTTTGTAACTATTTCTTATAGGGACCATTTCTGTCGATCTTAATTTCTTTCAGGGACCGTTTTGTAACTTTGTAAATCTTATAAGGACCATTTTCATAACTATTTCGTACATAGACCATTTTTATAAATCTTAGTTTTTCCAAGGGACCATTTCTGTATGTTTGTGTCCAATATATTTTTTTATAATTTTTTGAAAAATACTCTTTTATTTTTCCTGATATTTAAAAAATAGTAGTAATATTATGTTTTTATGGATGTTTTTTTTAGATTTCAGTGTAAAATCAAATCTCTTAATCATTTTACTTCTACCATAATTTTTTAGCCGACATAAAATTTTGTCTTTATGGTTTATTGCCATCGAGCATGGTTTCTCGAATTAAATAATCAATTACGAAATGGCAAATTGTCAGCTGTCACTGTACAAAACCTAATTGACAGATTTCCTCATGTGTATTATCAAATAATTCAAGTTGATTTCAGTGTATATTTAAATCAACTTTTTGGAGGACAGATATGATTATACGTGTTAAAATGTCTAAATTCAAATTCTAGGTTTTTTAAACAATTGCAACAACAAATATTTTTATATGTTCGTAATTATTATAAGATATTATTATAATACCGATATTTTGCTAAAAATAGACAATTAAATGTGAGGATAAGATAAAAGATAAAGTGCATAATTTTATAAAAGTAAACAAGTGAGATTGAGATATAAAGCTGCCTCCAAATTCCATTATATTAATATTGATTTAATCTTTTTAATATATAATTTATTAATTGGAAAATTAAATACAACGAACAAAACTATTTGCTTGCCTATGAATAGAATAATTAATATTATGTAATTACTAACGACAAACTAATTATTAATTTGGTAGAATATATGATAAAATAACAAATACTATAATAATTAAATTTGTATTAATCAAATGATAAAAACCTAGTACTATGTGATTGGTGCTAAACACAATTAAAAATTCCTAATCTAGATAACCTCATGATTGTGATTCTCATCAAAGTACGAGGAGTATAAAAATCTAATATTATTATAACTAAACAAACATCAATTAATTAATTAATTAATTAATTAATTAATTCATTAACTTCTAATATAAAGTAAGCAAATTAAAACGACAATAGCCTCAGCCTTTTCTTCAGGATTGTTAATGCTAAACACATACTTATTATCCATAATCAACAAAGAAATTAAGATCAAGAAGATGATGATGAACCTTTAGTGCAAATCACATTTCCACCGGTGCTAAAACTACCATTGTTATGAAGATGGAGGTGGTGGTCGATGTCGTGACGGTTGTTTCCGGAGTCAAGGTGGTGGTTGTTTCCGGTATCAAGGTGGTGGTTGTTTCCGGTGTCATGGTGGTGGGTTGTTTCTTGAAATAATGAAATCAATGCCCTCACCGGAGGAATTATTGCCATTGTTGTTAGTGAAATCCTTCGGTTTCCCAAAAGTGGTTTTTGTTGTTATGCATCCATACCTTGAAAACGCTTCTATCGACACCAATTTGGTTGCAGAATCCGTTAATGAGTTCTTCATCGCGTTTCTGCATCTTCCACCCAACTCTTTCCGCGATTTCATGCATCTTTTCCTTCTGATCTTGAGTGAATTTTGTTCTGAATCGTTTTTTCCCATTTGGGTTTGAACCAGAGGCGACGGCGGAGCCGGGCGTGGTGGGGATCGACGGATTGTGGTTACCGTGGTTGTTTTCGGCCGGCGGAGCTGTTAAACCGGCACTGAGTGCGAGGAGCATGTGGGGTGCTGATGGGTAGTAAGACGATGAGATCGGTGGTGGAGATGGGGAATTTCCGGGACTGCTGCTATTAGCTCCGCCAGCTGGAGGTGGTATGGGTTGTGGAGGTGGAGGGTGGTGGCGGTGATGGGGTTGGTACTCGATGACATGTTGGATGGGTGGGTTATTTGGTGATGGGAAAAGCGACTCGTCTGGTTCACGGCGGTGGAAATTCCGGTGGCAGCCACAAGCGGCGCATTTTAGCGAGGTAGGGTAAGATGGGGAGGACGTCGGAGACGGCATAAACTCCCCACATCCATCTATGGCGTGGCCACCCATGGCAGCGGCGTGGTTCTTGAGACATTCTTTGTAAGTGACCACCACTGGTGGTGGTTGAAGGTGGTGGAAGGGCTTGTGTCGTTTGAGGACACCGTTGATTAACGGTGGTGTGAGCTGTTTAGCGAAGTTGTTCGATTGCGGTGTCTCTGAATCTGGATCAGGTGTTTTAACTGTGGCCGCGGCGGCGACGATGGTTGTGGGTGGTGGTGGAGTTGGGATTTCCATGGTGGGTTAAGAGAAATGAATTAGATTTGGGGATGAGGTTAAAGGGTTGTTTTTATTATCCATGAAAATGGACAGAATACTCTCTTTCTCTCTCTACATGTTTAGAGAGAAACAGACAAAACATAGGATGATGAATACTTTACACACTATTATTTATAAAAAATAATAACTTATTATGAATTAAATAATCGAATTATCGAAACATATTCTAAATAACCAAGTAACTACACAAACGTGTAAGTAGTAGTTGCAATTTGCATAACCACAGCATATACTGGTTCGACATGAGAGTAATGATTAAGAAAATCGATTGTGGGGATGACAAGATTATGATAAATCACTCTCATGTCTTTTTTGTGTCTTTGAATTTTAGACAGAAAATAAAATGGTATATATGAAAGGTTAATCATTAAAATAAATGATTTTATTAGAAAATAATTAGTTCTTTATTGAAATTATAAAGAAATTACCATCTGATTTCGTAAATAAGGTTATTATGATTTACGAATTGGCTTTTGAAAATGTGTAAAATACAATTTGTTTTATATGATGGTTGAATATTACGAATGTTTATGAACAACTATCTTTTATTGATGTTATGTTTCAGACTCATTTTGACCCGAGTTCGAACACACTTGGGTAGAATAGGTGGTTCCGTGTTGGAGCCTACAACCTTCATTCAACGGAGGAAATTTTATCTCATCATCGGGTTTCGATTCAGCAAGGGATATTGCCAAGAGTTGTTCATGAGCGATCACTATTCCAAACGAGTTGTTGCTAGATTCCAACCTCATGTAGTCAACATAAAATTTGTTAGGTTAGCGATCGCGGATGTGGTTTGCCTTTACCATAAATCTTATTAATGTTATCTTAAACTTACAATCCCCACCTTGTCCCAAAGATGTCCAAATATTAACAGTTAGAGTCGCAACCTTAAACGGGTTTATATCCAAGGCATCTGAAAGATGAAAACCTTATTACGATGTCTTGAGGAAGAACTAAAAGTTCCACCGGACACCAGAACATGAAAAAGCATTTCAAGAGCTGAAAAAGATCTATTTTCGGCCCCTTTGTTAGCCAAGCTAAATATGGAGAAACCTTATTCCTATACTTAACCTTATCCAAGAATGCCACAAGCATAATCTTAGTCAAGGTGCATGATGGCACTCTAACATGTCGTGTATTATGTAAGTAAGAGTTTCTTACACGTTGAAACCATGTACTCACACTTTGAAAAACTAATCTTATCTCTTAGTTTGTGTTTCAACTAAACTACGCCGTTATTTTGAAAAGCATCATATTTGTATAAAAAAAAACTATCCGATTAAGAATGTGATGAGAAAACCTAAGACGTCAGGAAGAATGGCTAAGTGGTATGTACAACTAAGTACTTATGAATTAAGATAGGAGCCAAGATCTGCAATAAAATCATAGGCATTTGTAGATTTTGTAGTTGATTTCAGTCTGCATCTTCAACCTAAAACCGAGAAGGAAATTCAACGGCTTAAAGATATAGAATAAACAATGAAATGGACTCTCTTTAGAGATGGAGCCTCTAACTCTAAAGGATCAGGTCTTGGAGTCATACTAAAATCGCCACAAGGGGACATTATACCCCATGTAATGAGTTGTGATTTTAAAGTAACCTAGAATAAGGCAGAATACGAGGTATTGATCTTGGGTCCACAAATCGCTCAAGATCTTGGGATCAAAATTTTTTTAGATACATACATATTCATTTCTAGTTACTAATCAATTTAGTGGAGAATATGAAGTAAAAAAAACCTAGCTTTATACCTAAAGATAGTAAAGAGCTTGGCATCTAAGTTCCAAGATTTCGACATAAAATAGGTACATAGGGAAGATAACACCGAAGCAGATACACAAGCTAATCTTGGTTCATCATTCAAGATCCATCCAGACGCCAAAATCCTTATATCTCGTGTCATTAAACCAACGATCGAAGACATCCAAGAAGAGGTGGTGCCTGTCCAAGATCCTGGAACCTAGGATGTTAGTCCCAAAGAATCCTGGATCCAACATATCATTCAATATGTCCAAGACGGATCCATTCTTGAAAGTGGAAGATACACAAGGACCTTTAAAATCAAAGTATCCAGATTTAATATAATTGAAAATATATACTTTAGGAAATTTGCAACATGTCCCTATCTTAGGTGTCTCGAAGAAAATGAAGCCCATATCATCCAGAAAGAAATTCATGATGGAGAATGTGGCAACCACGTTAGGGGCATGGCACTTTTCTTCAAGATATTGAGGACAAGATACTATTGGCCAACAATGATGAAAGACACAATGGAGTATGCACAAAGATGTGACTCATGCCAAACACATGGCAATGTCTTACACCAGCCAGATGAACCAACCTCTACATCCAACAGTATCCCCATATCCATTCATGAATTGGGTAATGTATATCGTTAGCAAACTTCCTATGGCATCAGCTGGTAAAGTTTTCATGTTAGCAATGAATGAATAGTTTTCCAAATGGATATAAGATGAAGCCTTTGTCCAAGTTAGAGAGAAGAAAGTAATACCCTTCATCAAACACAACATCCTACCTAGTTGGCATTCCATCTGAAAATATATGTGATAACGGATCTCAATTTATAGGTAAGAGAACACAAAACTTTTGTGCAAGTTGGGGAATCAAGATGATCACTTATACACCTATCCACCCTCAAGAAAATGGTCAAGTTTAGTCAATAAATAAGATCATAATCAATAACCTAAAGAAAAGACTCACAAAAAGAAGAGTAAAATGGGCTGAAAAATTACCCTTGGTCCTTTGGGCAGATAGGACCACAACCAAGAATTCCATAGGACAAACACCATATTCTTTGGTATTTGGAACCGAGGCTATAATTCCCCCGGAAGTTATGATCCTCACGGCTAGGACAAAATTCTGTGACCAAGAGGAAAATAGAAAGATCCTAGCTGAAGATCTTTACATAGTGGACGAACTTAGGGATCTTGCCAAGATCCGGATAGCCGCATAACAACAAATAATTGCCATATCTTACGATAAAAATATCAGTTTCTGAAGATACAAGGTAGGAGATCTTTTCCTTAGAAAAGTATTCCAAAATACAGTTGAACATAATGCAGGGAAACTTGCTCTAAAATGGGAAGGTCCTTATCTTAAAGATTCAAAGGCCAAAAAGGGGGCATACTAGTTCCCCACCCTAGATGGTGAAGGGTTACCAAGTTCCTAGAACGCTATACATCTTACAATCTATTTTGCATAGATCCAAAATCTTGGTATAAGATACCCAGACACATTTTCCTTCCTTATTTCAATAATCAATTATACATTCTTATTCTTGATACCGACTTATGCATCGTACGGGTGTTAGCCAAGCTAACACACACCCTTTACCCAAGATCTTTATTTTACAGACATCAAAGATCTTAACTAAGATTATAGGGGCTGATTACCCATCCTACAATTTAAGGTATTCAAGATACCTTCTAAGGTATAAAGACTTACATCTTTCTTTGATATCAGGTTTTAACACCTCGCTTGGTCACATGATATCTAGTGATAGTCAAAGGATATAGGGATCGACTAACGCTTTAGTAACCGACAACCTCTATATTACTAACTATTCGTAAGAACCGAAGTAAAATTCAATGGAATGATACAATGTGTCATACATCCAGGAACTAATACCCATGCATTTAACATTAACCTATTAAACTCAAGCCAATGGAATATCCCAAGGATGTGGAAAAACCCAAGGGAACAACCCTCGTACATGGTTATCCCAAGATTTGCAACATTTTTTTGTTGTCAATTGGTGAGAACATGGTCATGTTCATTAAGACAGAGACACTTGGACCTAATGTCAAAAACTAATGATTTAAAACAATAAGGATACCCCAAGATATTAAGCAAAGTATCCAAGATATTATCCCAATATATGAGTCTCAAGATAAAAAATGAAATTTCTTCGTCTCAAAATATCATCCTAGGATACCATCCTAAGATTTCATCCCAAGATATTTGACATAAAGTACACAATCCTCATAACACTTTTGAATTCTAAGATTATTTCCTACTTATAATCTTAAACCTTCCTTTGTACAATACGTCTCACAATTAAAAATTTTCATATTGAATCAAAGTTATTTATTTATCAAAATACATTTTCTCAAGTATGCCTTTAAGGATAAGGCATAAAGTCAAAACAAAAAAAAAAACATTTTAAACTATTCTAAGTATTTAAACAGAAACCCTTTTGCCTCATATTTTTATCTTAGGATATTCCTTTTGAAAATCCTATCTTGGATATTTAGTATCCTATTCGAAAAGTAAATATTTTACTCCTAAAGACACTTAGAACCTGTTTTTCAAAAGAAAAGTTAAGAATTCAATTTGTTACTTGGAACATGCTTTGCCATAATCCTAAGAAAATACTTTCAAAACATACGAAATCATTTTAAATACCCATCATCATCCAAAAAATAAAAATATCATGTTTTCCTAAGACATGCACGAACCAACACAACTATTACAAACCAGAAATTGTCTCAGAAATATAAACCAAAATAATTGTCCAAAGTTCTCCAAAAGAAAGCTATCCTAAAATCAACTCACTCTTCCTACGATGAACCTTCATCTTCCCCTTCAACATTTCTACCATTTTCTTTTTCCTCGTCAATTGTTCCACTTATTCTTGCTTCACCTTTCAAATTCTTTAAAGCCCTTTCCCATTTTTCTCTATCCGAGAGATCCATTCCGTTTTCTTAAAAACTGTCCATCATCTTCAACATGGCCGCTAACACTGAAATTACAGTAAACTTCTTCACTTCTTCCTCTATCTAATCCAACACACCAAAAGAGAAGAAAGTTTGCACCCAAAAAAACTAGTGTTGGACTAGATGTCTAAGCTCATAACTATTATTGGTATGTATTCGACCCTAGAGTAGCATGGTCCATTTGGGTTGCACTTCACCGGAACAATTTATATGGATAG